CTTTCGAGCTGCTAGGTTGGCAGGAGGTGAGGCAAGGCCAGGAACTCACAGATAAAGACACAGATAAACCTCCAGGTGGCCTCAACAACTCCCTAAAAGAATGCAAATGACCAGCTGTCTGCAAGGAGTATAAATCCCTCCATTCCCCACCATCCAGTCAAAGCTGAAGAAACTTTTGGGATGAGAAGCGAAATGTCTTCAAACAAAAAACCAGAAAGTCCACTTGCCTCTTGAAAAAAAAAAAAGCACCTTTGAGATTCTACTTGGGTTCCCCTGAGCATAACCAAGATATAAGCATACCACTGTGTCTGATGGAACAGAAGGTCCAAAATACTTCTTAATCATTTTCAAAATGTGCATTGTACTAAGAAGTACCTTTTTAAGTGCCAAAATAATTTTCGTGTTTAATTTCAAAATTCACCTACGCAACAGTTTGAATATAACTTTGAGAAGCTATTTCAAATTTAAAAAGGAGGTGAAATTTGGGGAATAGAAAAAGATGTAGAATGCTTTGTGGCCAACCAAACATTTTCACAATTCTCTCCAATGAGTATGGAGGCTTTTTCTGGGTGCAACTCTTATTGTGAAGAACAGTTTGGAAACCTTGCTATGTATATTCTATGGCAGTATTGGTGAACCTTTTCGGCACCGAGTGACGAAACGGGCATGTGCATGTGAACGTACCAGGAACTGGAAGAGCAGCCACCCAGTGCACATGTACGCACTAGATGGCTGCTCTTCTAGTTTCTGACACGTGCAGGTGCACCAGCCACCTGGTCTTCCAGTTTTTAGCACACCTGCGCATGCAAAGGCCAACTGGTTGGTGTGCATTCATGTGCCGGAAACTGAAGGAGCAGCCGCCCGGTGAGCATGTGTGTGCCAGAAAGATGATCGTTCAGTTTCTGGCATGCACATGTGCACCGGCCAGCAGGTCTTCATGAGCAAATGCATGCCAGAAACTGGAAGACTAGGTGGCCAGATCATCTTCCCTGCATGCACATGTGCACTGGCAGCTGCTCTTTCAGTTTCTGGCGCTCCCATGTGCATGAAGACCAGCTGGCTGGGTTGCCAGAACCGGAAGAGCAATAGGCTCACGTGCTCAGAGAGATGGTTCTACATGCCACTTACAGCATGCATGGCATAGGTTCGCCATCATGGTTCTATGGTATCAAACACCGGTACAGGTAATCCTTGACTTGTCTCACAATTGAGCCCAAAATTTCTGTGGTAAAGTGAGTTTTGCCCCATTTTATGACATTTCTTGCCAGAGCTGTTAAGTGAATCTGACCTCCCCACTGATTTTGCTTGTCAGAAGTTCTCCACCTGACCTTGGGACATTGCAACGGTCATAGGTATGAAACCAGTTGCCAAACATTTTGATCACACGATCTTGGGGCTGCCATGAAGGTCAGTGCCACGAAGGTCATCAATGTGCAAAGTGGTCATAAGTTCCTTTTTCCAGTGCCATTGTAACTTTGAATGGTGACTAAATAAACTGTTGTAAGTCGAGCTATGCAGTATTTTAGAAGAGATCTTTCAAAGGGAAAACCAAGAATAATCTTGCATGTTTCTAGATCACTGTCCAGTTATAAACAGAGATTCATTGTGTGAAAGGGGCCAGGGATGGGATGGTGGCGAGGGGGAATGTCTTTCCTGGCATGTATCACTTGGAAATGAAATAAAGGATGCGATTGTCTCTGCAACCTATCTAAAACAAATGCCAAAGGAACATCTTAAATGCTCTACATATTGCATTCCTAACATGATCACGCAAAGGAAGCCAACCATGCATTTTAGGATGAATGTGGTACAGTTCTCACTGTGCTGGAGGCAAAAAAAAAAAAAACCTTGTTCTAATTAATCACCAATTAATAGAAAGCTTAAAATATATTTCTGCTTTAATTATACATATAGCTTCTCATTAAGCAAGGCTTAATTAATCAATTTTTTTTTAAGAAAAACATTCTAAGGACAGTGACTCATTCTGCACACCACAAGGCGGAATGACTAACAGGGATGCAAAAGTGAATTCAAAAAACAAGAATAACATTCAGCTGTTTTCCTTGATGGGAAGACAACAGGCAAAACACACAACCCCACACAACCCCACACACAGCGATGTAGGCAGACACAGCTGGTACACTTAATTTAGCTGGCACTGGCAAGGAAGTGGTTGGTAACTTTGGAAATTAATCAGCAATGAAGCTAGTCAAAGGCAGCGTCAATCAATATCAGAGATAGGTTTTGAAGAAAGGTTGAATGAAGGCCTGCTGGAACAGTCCATTTTCCTCTGTAAGCTACTTCAGATGTATCTCCAGAACTACTACTACGACTACTACCACTACTACTAATTATTATTATTATTATTATTATTATTATTATTATTATTATTATTATTATTATTATTATTATTATT